TAAAAAATTAGTGGACAAAAGTTCAGTTAAATGGCGTTTTTTGGTCTACAATGACCCAAAATATGTTAAAAGTACAGAGCTTCTTGGAAGCGAGCGACATGTTTGCTGCGCCCAGAATAATTTCTAGATCCCAATCCAATAGGTAACATATTAAACGAAATGGTGCAACAAATAAAACACAAATTCCTAAGAATTTTGCCTAATTATGGGCTTGAAAGTTAAAATTTATGTCATGAAATTTCTAGTGGGTTCTGGTGAAGATTATGTCCAGGAGAAGAAATTATATTATCAAAATGTGCAACTATTCTACAAAATATAAAATTTTTAGTGAAATTTGATAAATTTATCCGGTTTCTTTGCTTTATTTTTAATTTTTTAATGATTTTTTTATTTTGTGCTAAACTTATGTCCAGATTTTTTTGGGGGTAGATGTACTTTGGAAAGAAAAAAATCTATATGCAACAAAGTAGTAAAACAAAACGTAATGTGCCGTGATCCTCGAAGGACATGTGTTACGCATAAAAATTTGTTAAAAAAGTTAAGAACTATAGGAAATATATGATTTTATATTTAACAGATACCAAATGTGCTAACCTCATGGCCGCCACTGTATATGGAGTTTGACAGCGTCGGGTTTGAGAGAGAATTTTGTTATATGGAGTTTGACAACTTCAGGCTAAATTTCCATGGACAAAAAACAATCAGCTGTTTCGCCATGGACTTCACCTTATAATCTATTCGCCTTGGTACGCACCAATGCGAATTCATATAAGGTGGTGTCAATCAATCAGCTGATTATTATACCCTCCACCACCATCAGTGGTGATAGAGGGTATATATAAGTTTGTTTGTTGTTCCGTGTGTAACACCAAAAAATATTCATCTAATACCCAACAAAGTATATATATTCTGGGTCCTTATCAAATTCTGAGTCGATTTAGCTATGTCCGTATGTCCGTCTGTCTGTCTGTGTAAAACACGCTCACGTTAAAACTAAGAAAAGGAAATCAACCAAATTCACCCAAAATATTTACTATTATCCTAAGCAGTTTGGTATTGAAAATCAGCAAAATCAGTTCACAACGTAAAAAGTTATGAGTAAAAATTTTAGACTACCTCGAAAAAAATTACGTTTTTTTCATAATTCTTTTGAAGTTTTCTCAGAAACTACCAAAGATATTTCGATGAATTTTTTCACACATTATTTTTCATGGCAGTGATCAATTATGTTGAAAATATTTAGAATCGATCCAATATTTTCCACTGCCCCCATACAAAGGTATATATTCCCGGAAATTAGTTTATCGTATTCCTTTAATATATCGGTATCAACACAAAAATTTGTACATGCAAATATAATATGAACAGAAATCATACTATCAACGTAGATATCAGTCGGTCCACAATTGGCCATAGTCCCCATACAAGGTCCACTTCCGAAAATCACCTAAACGAACATTTTTCATTGATGAATAAAGCTATTGTGATAAAATTCGAGTTAAATATGTTTTGTGTACATACAAATCATTCTACCAATGATTCCATTATTGGTCATAGCTCCCATATAACCCCACTTCCGAAAATCACCTAAAAATACACATTTCATTGTCAAATAAAGCTATCGTGATAGAATTCGACATAAATATATTTCGTATATATGCATAAATGTTAGTACCCTCAATAAGGAAACAAAAATTTTGCCAAGTTATCTAAAAATTAGATAGTTAAATGGGTTTCAATAAAAAGTAACTTGCTGGTTCTAGCCAAGGTATATTAATTTTATAAGGTAGTGTCATCGGCGAATTCAGAATACCAAGCGAATTGGTTATATTTTTTTATATGTAGTTTGACATTGTGCCTGCACTTGAAGGCGAATTTGCTGTAAGGGAAAAATTTCAAAAACAGCTGACAAATAAATCAAAGCGAATTTATATTAAACAAAAAATGTTTATAAATTTGAATCTGTTTATAATTTATTCTGATGTTTTAACTTTTAAAGATTAAAAACACAAAAATATGCCCTAATCACACAATTTCACTTTAATCACAAAATTCACATATACAAAATGAAACCAGTTTGACATTAACAAAATGAAAACAAAGTTTGACATTTACAAAATGTAAACAAAGTTTGACACTAATTATACACCACGGCGAAAAATGAACATAATAGCAAAAAACGATCAGCTGTTCTGATAACACTACCTTATAATTAATATATCTTGGTTCTAGCACTCTAACTTGTTTTTTTCTTAATTCGCCTGGTTTACGTAGCTGTCAAAGTTTGTTATTGTTTACATTTTTATATTTAAAAAGATAAACTTCGTTAATATTCTGAATTATTTATGTAAAAAATCTGAAAATACCAAGCATCTCGTAAACAAATATCATTTTATTTAAATAATGGCATAATTGGTATGTATACTAATATGTTATTTAAGAAAAATATTTTTTTCTATTAAATGTTAACATATTACACAATATTGTTTTATATTTTATATTAAAATTGTGTAGATTACGTGATAAACTAAAAAAATCTCTTCCGGAACACTTAATATTAAGAAACGCATATGAAGTATTTACCCGGCTGGCGGCAGCTGACTTCTACGTTATGGCTTAATTTTGAAATCTAATAAATGTTAACAAATTAAACAATAAACTAAAAAAAGTCTGTTCCGGAACGCTTTATAAAACAAAACCCATATGAGGTATTTACCCGTCCGGCGGCTGCTACATTATGGCCAAATATTGAAAATTACTCAGCAGGAGTAGAATTATCCATTTTATGTTTATTTTTCATAAAAAATTTAGTTTTACTTAACTTCAGGCACTCACTTAAATTTTGCAAATTGACCTGCCGGAATAGAATTTTTCGTTTGAAACAAACATTATTCAATTCAGAATATATTTTCCTCACAAATTTTAATATCTTTATCTTTATTTTTTAATAAAATATAAACTTTTTACAAACATTTTTCATCACATGAATACGCCGTACTTATGGTTTTTGACATCTACGTAAACCATATGCAAAAACAAAATACATGTAAAATGTTGTTGTTGCAGAACTGCCACCACCTTATCTAAATTCGCCTTGGTACGCACTGATGTCAAAGACAATAATTGCGGCGAATTCATTTAATGAAAATATTTTGTGAAATTTTTATATTTTATAAAAATACACATAAAAATATTAAAATTTGTGAAGATAATTTACCCTAAATGGAATAATGTTTATTCCAAATGAAAAATTCTACTCCGGCAATATTAATTTGCAAAATTTAAATTTGTGCCTAAAATTATGTAAAATATAATATTTTTGTAAAAAATAAAAATAAACATTTTAAAATGTATGGAAAAATTATATACCGAATGCAAGAATCTTTGTTGTAAATGGAAAATTCCGGCGGAGTATATTTATGATTTATACGTTGTAGTCAGCTGTCGCCGGACGGGTAAATACCTCATATGGGTTTTGTTATAAAAAGCGTTCCGGTGCAGAACTTTGTCAGTTAACAACGTTATCTACACAGTTAATATAAAACAATTTATTAAAATTCAATAGATCTCAAAATTTGACCATAACGTAGAAGACAGCTATCGCCAGTCAGGTATTTTTTTTGTAGGTTTTTATATGAAGTGTTCCGGCACAGAAAGTTTTAAGTTAATCGCCTTATCTTCAAAGTGTAAATATAAAATATAACAAAATATTGTTTAATTTGTTAACATTTACTTGAAAAAATATTATTGTTATGTATATGTATGTATAAAGTTGGTACATGCGAACCAATTATTCATTAATTTTATAGGAAAAATATTTGTTTACAAAAGGCGTGGTATTTTCAGATTTTTTCCATAAATTATTCAAAATACTAACGAAGTTTTTCTCTGTTTTAACGGAAATTTTTAAATATGAAAATGTAAACAGTAACAAACTCTGACATCAGTGCGTTCCAGTCAAGTGAGAAAAAATAATCAGCTGATTAAATAACACCACCTTATGTGAATTCGCCTTGCACCAGAGGAGGAAATCTTTGCGCCTGTCCGTAGGCCGGCAATGCAAGAAATACGTAGTAAGTAAACGAAGCCAAATTTCGGCAAATGCGCTACGAACGAAGTCCCCAATGAACTAAGTCCCCAAATTTTTATATTGATAAAAGCAAGAAAGAGTTTTAGGGACTTAGTTCATTTTTTGGGGCTTTATTTTATTCTATACATTTCACATTAGGGCAGAAGTACTTAAAACATGGCGATAAATAAACTACAAGATTTTGATATGTAAGTCTTTGCTATCAATGAAAAGAGAATTTCTCCTACATTAAATATAATAACCCAGTGTACACTTAATAAGGTAGCCTCGTCGCTATAACAATACAAAAACAACAGGCGATTTGTTATTGTGAAAAATTCCAATCTGTCAAAAAAGCTGTGTGCGGCGAATGAAAAAGCAACAAATAAACACAATAAAAATATGAGGTTTTAGCAAGTTTTTTAATTATTAAATATTAATATATTAAATTAATTAAACGTCGAATGCCTGAAAATCAGAACTACATATGTATATATATTGGGAGGACAAATTTTGCGAATAAAACGTGCTTTTTAGGGAAAAGTAATTGGTCGTGCTAAAAATTGTTCAAACTGATTTGGAACGTATGTCGGAGCAAGAGAGAAGAGAAGGTCAACAAAGAGATTTAATCATGATTGACCTAGAAAACTTTTTTAAAACCATAATTTTCTTCACTTTTTAAATTTTTTTCCATTTTTAAGTTTTTTTTTATGTAAAGAAACTGGAATTTTGACAGATAAGATTGTAACAGCTGATTATCAGCTGTGTGGACGAGGCTACCTTATTAATTGTATCATGATAATAACGAACAATTTTAGAATGTAAATAACAAAAGATTAAAAAATATATTTTTTTGTGTATTAGCAATTATATTTAGTAATAATTGTGACTTTTTTTCTTTACATATATGTTTATTTAGGAGAACATTTTACTACGCCTTATCCTCTTTTAACGCTGAAAATAAAATTGTGTAAAAAGAGGGTGAGGTGTACTTCAAAATAAAAATTCGAAACAGTATATATATAAACTGATTTATTACTTTAATTTTTTCCTAAAAAGTTTAATAAAATGTCCCGTTAGGGAATTTTTACTGCAAAGATTTTTACAATGATTTGTAAAATATACACAAAATTTTACATTTGGAGGAAATGGGTTTAAGCGTTCTAGTTCTTAGATTAATTTCTGGCAACATTTTGATTAATAACACAGGTCAACGATGAAAAAACTTTTTAAATAATTTACACTAATCCCAGTGTTATTTGGTCGTATCACCTAATTTTCCAAATTTTCATCTTTTAGTCCTTTCGAATTTTATATTTGGTATTTTTACACAAATTGTGAATAGTGGTCGCCTCTGCTTCTAGACTTATAATTAAAGTTATAGAAATGCATTCTGGAAGGACAATGCGCGATAGGACCACGTTAACTGCTCTGAATACAGTTTTTACAAAAATTTTTGCACTAAATTTATCTTTTTGGATTTTAACAGTAAATAATTGGAATATATATTCAATTATCGTTCAAATGAGATATAAAATACAAAAATCGGTCAAAAATTGTAAGAGTTATTACAAATTTCTCTGATTATTTAGTGTCACAAATCGCTTAAATGAGAAATATTTAAAAATAATTATGAAATTTTGACAATTATTTTAATAAAACCATGTCATTACGTTAAATATATTTCTATGTACTTAAATGTGAGTTTTGGATATAGTCATAAATGGGAACCCCTTCAGACGACTGTTTCAAAAATCCAGTTTAAAACTTTTAGCAATTTTATTAAGCAAATTTTAAAATCTTAAGAAAATCTCCATGTGACTTACGGACAATAAAGAAGGGAAACATACACGGGCACACTGCAGTATAATTTTACTGCATTACACATTTCAGTAATCAGTAAATCAGTCTTGTTTAAAACATGGTGAGCAGACATAACTCAAATATATTTTGGTTAATTGTAATGTGTTTAGTTTAAAAATTATTTGAATTTGTTGCTCGTCACGCTTCTTCTTCGTGAGACAATTTTCAATACTGTGGCCTTTCATATGGTAAAAACAACAGCGGCTGTTAGTAACATTTTCGTGTTTAATATCTTTGTTTGTTGTTGGTAGCTGTCGGGCTTCTGTTTCAAACATCTCTGCCTCTCTGCTTGCTGAAATAAGCTCGCTAAACGTTTTAAAATTTTCGCGGCGGACACGCCCACTAATGGTTATATTCAGTAGGCCATATATCACATTGAGCTGCACTTCTTCAGTCACAGGAACCTTTAATTGAGAGAACAAGAGCCGCTTCTTGCAGATGAAACTGTCAGTTGGTTCCTTCTTCTGCTGTTTTGTTTCAAAAATATTTGAAAATACGCGCCAGTCCGGTATTGGTGGCGAAAATGTTGAACGAATAAGAGCTTTTGCCTCTTCAAAACTGCATACCGTGTCTTTCACGCCAATCCACCAAGTGGCTGCGTAGTCTTCAAGCAGCAGGGACATTCCACGTACTGCATCCGGGTCGGAAATCTTCTCTATGTCCTTGTAGACACTAATGGCAGCCAAAAATTCTTCCACAGCAGCGGGATCTCTCTGTCCTTTGTAGCGCGCTGTGCATTGGGTAAACGAACCGCATCTGTTACCACCCATATCCGCTAAAATCTGCTGGAACTGCTCAGCTGAAAATGTTGACATGCTGTCTACGTTGTCGTGCTGCCGGCTTCGTTATCTACGAAAACCGTATGGTTGTTACTAACGGCTTCGTTTGTTACGAAAACCGTTTCGACGCCAGCCTCCGCTGATACGTTGCTAGCTTCGTTTTCTACGAAAACTAGTTTGACTTCACTTTTTGCTGCTGCAGATGACTTGCTATCGGCCACCGCGTTGACCTTCTTCTTTTCTTCCTCGGCTTTTAAAGTCTTCGAGGTCACTAAGTTGGGCGCCAATAAGACAATCTTATTCCGAAGATTGTATACGTTCATAAAAACACAATTCGGGTTTAAAAAAATTACAATATTTATTCACTTTTAATATACACTATAGTAGGTTCAATTCTTTAATCAATTGAAAGCACACGTCCGGTACTATAAAGTTTGGACAATGTTCTTTACTTCATGAGAGTCAGAATGCTACTTCACTTCTACACAGCAATGTCGCTGCTTTTATACCATTTTCAAGCATGGTTGTTGTAATGGTATTTAGAATAATAATATCAATACACAGAGTTGTCTTAAAATAGTATACAAACTAAACATAGTGTTGTATGTGGAAATAAACGTTAAATTCAAATATCAATATGTTCTCATACGGAGGTGCATTTCAAACAATGCGTTAAATTTAAATATGATGTGTCCTCATACAGAGGTGCATTTTAAACAAAGCACCTAAAAATATTTTTGGGGAGTTATTTGGGGAGTTATTTGGGGAGTTATCTACAGATATCGAATTTTAAATGGGAACTTATTTCATTTTAAAACTACGGATTTGTTTCAAATGAAATAAATCCCCAAAAATGGGGTGTTATTTCATTTTGATTTAGGGAGTTATTTCATTTCGTTGAGGCTTTTTTTAATTTTAAATTGGGGAGTTATTTCATAATGAAATAAGTCCCCAAATTTGAGGAGTTGTTTCATTTTTTTTTTTGGGAGTTATTTCGTAGGGAATTATTTCATGACGCCATAATGCCCCAAAAGTGAATTAAATTCCCACATTTCGTTGTTGATATTAAATATATATTGCAGTGGTTTCCCGGTTTAACGAAAAATATAATGTCAGGCGCAGCAGGCATGGAAAATTCAGCACTTTAGTACTTTTTTCAGTACTTTTAGATACCCAAAAATACCGTAGTACAACCGCCTCATTTTTAGTACTTTATACTAATTTTCCAAATAATACTGATCGACTAAATTTAAGTTTTTCGTGTCACATGAACGTTTTTTATGTTTTTTGTAAATGGAAACATGTAGTTTTTTGTGTAGTTCTCTATAACACCGGGCAACGGTCATTTTCAAAAATGAAAAAATCTTTGTGTATAGGTAACTGTGGACCATTAGTATTAACTCTGTGCACTCAGTTTTTCATAATCAGCCTGTAAAAGGACCATAAAATTTAAAGGACATAAGATTTCAAAAGATGAAATTCCAAATTTGCATAAAAAATTTGTTATTAATATCAAATGAAGCTGAGAACCTCTGCTTCAAAATAATATTATTTATTTCAATTCATCAGGATTAAAAAAGAAATGGAAGCTTAAAGAAAATTTGTCACAAAAAAGTAGTTAAAAAGTGAGTCAAATATATAATATAGATACATTTCCCAGCTTTAATTTGATACTAATACAAGTAGGAAAGTACAGTCGGACTTGGCCGGCTATATGATACCCTACACCAGTTATGAATATTTAATTTGATTTATTTTTCATAATAAAGCATTTATCTTGAATATTACCTTGATTCCGATTTATTTAAGCAATTTATTGACGAAAAACTTATTTTCTAAAAGAGGCTTTATATGGGGGATAGGAGCAAATGTGGACCGATCCCGATAAAATGGGCTGGATACATTTGTATTTAAATAATATATATATAATATTTGACTGTGCTAAATTTCATTGCAATAACAGTGCTAATAAATGAATTGAGGATATTCAAGTCACTTTCTGAAGGGGGCTTTGTGTGGGGTCTAGGGTCAAATGAAGTCCGATCATTTCGAAATTCGGCAAGGTCATCAAGGCTTGTATAAAACTTAGTTGTGCGAACTTTCATAGAGATACATTTATATCTATATATATAAAAATGAAAGTGTGTTTGTATGTATGTATGTATGTATGTATGTATGTATGTATGTATGTATGTATGTATGTATGTATGTATGTATGTATGTATGTATGTATGTATGTATGTATGTATGTATGTATGTATGTATGTATGTATGTATGTATGTATGTATGTATGTATGTATGTATGTATGTATGTATGTATGTATGTATGTATGTTTGTTTGTGCTTTATAGACTGCTAAACGGCTGGACCGATTTTCCTGAAATTTTCACAGTTTCTTCCTGTATGTCTGGAAGGAACTATAGGCTTGAAATTGAAATTTCATGTGGGCGACGTGCCACGCCCATATTAAGAAAATATTAAATTAGTATATCTGAGATAATATAATAGTTAGAGTCTTCAAATTTTGTCGGAGCAACTTTAGTATCAATATAATTATTTAAGACAAAAAGTAGGCGGATTAGCATTAGGGGGCGTGGCACCTCCCATATAAATTAAATACAAAAATTCGTTTATCTTGGAAACTACTACAATTAGAATATTAAAAATTTGCACGGGTAACTTTAATATCCATGTAAACATTTTGGGAAATAAATTGGCGGACTACCCATGAGGGGAGCAGCACCTCCCATATTAATAAAATAAAAAAATTGGTTTATCTGGGAAACTAATAGAACTAAATTCTTCAAATTTTGCACTAAGAAATTAAATATTCATCTGAACATTTTGGAGAATAAAGAGCGGACTTTCATCATGGGAGGCTTGGAACCCCATATAAATTAAATAGGAAAATTATTATATCTGAGAAACTATTAGAGCTAGAATCTTCAAATTTTAATTTAAGAACTTTGACATTCATGTGAACATTCAGAGAATAACGGGCGGACTTTCAATGGGGGGTTTGGCACCTCACATATGAATTAAATACAAAATTTCGCTTATCTGGGAAACTAATAGAACAAGATTCTTCAAATATTGCAAGAAGAACTTTATTATACATATGAACATTTTGGAGAAAAAAAGGGCGGACTTTCATCTGGGGGCTGTGAGTTCCCATATGAATTAAATAGAAAAATTCGTATATCTGAGAGACTATTAGAATCTACTAGAATCTTCAAATTCTACATGAAGATCTTTGACATTAATGTGAACATTTAGAGAATAACGAGCGGACTTTCAATGGGGTCTTGGCCTATATGAATTAAATACAAAATTTCGTATATCCGGAAAAATATTAGATTTCTTAATTAACGTTCGGAAAATATGTATCTCTGGAAAATATTACAGTTAGAATCTTCAAAATTATTAAGATTTTTTATTTATATTGCTTTTAGGGTAGCAAAGCACACTGGGTATAGCTAGTTATACATAATTATGAGCTCAAAAGCCCTTTTTGGGGGGTTTAGTTGTATGGGGTCTAGGTGAAATAATGGACCGATTTTATGTGTATGCAGAATGTGTGAAATCTTTTTTCAAAATTGTTACATTATAAAAATTATATATGATTTAAAACCCCATACATATTTTTTAGATGCCCTCAAAATGTCCCAAAGAAACCATTATCCATTCCTATCGCATGTAGCTTACAAATTCTTCCGAAAATGTTAAATTTTTAATAAATCTGGTTCACATATTGAGGGCAAAGAATAAACAAGATCACTAGATTTCGTTTAGTTTTAGTGATATTATGTCTCAAATTTTAGCCGTTCAAAGAAGAACTTAAAATTTAAGATGTGGGACCTGTAAGTTGGTTTGACTATGTTAAGAAATATGTACTTGGTCTTATTTAAAATTGGAAGTATACGCGTATTCAGTTGGAGTATAATGGGGAATTTAGAAAATAGTGTTTTTTATTTAACCATTTTATTGTAAAACAGGACATTATCATCTGAACAATTTCATTTAGTTCAATACATATCATTGAAATATAAACGGCCCGTGAGGTTAAACTTTATTCTAATTGATTATTTTTTTTAAAGATGTAATGCAAGAGGCATAGGTTGTGTCCAATATTTATTTTGCTATGCAATAAAAAAAGAAACAAAATCCTTACGGCCAGCAAAAGTTTTACATTTAACGGAAGTCAATTTAGAGTAAATATAGAAAACATCTTTAGGATTTGTCAATTCACTTTCTTGACGTTCCCATAAAACTTAAAATAAATAAGAAATTAATTTGTTTATTTTTAAATAATAAAAATGTTTTTGGAAAAAAATACCTTTATGTCTAAAAAAAATCCTTTTTTGGTTTGAGTTCAGTTCCAGTTCAAAATTTCCATTTTCCATGCCTGGTAAGAAGTATATTTTAAAATTCCGTTTTAATGCGTTCATATATTGTGACCATTTCTATGCATTTTTTCTGCAGTGTGCAAAATATAGAATATTTTTTCGTTAAAATTAGAAACAAACCCAAGTTAAAGATTTCAAGAAAAAAATTTATAAAAGTTAGTTAGATAAAAAGATTTTATACCCATGTGTAAAATTCTGAATATTTTTTGTTGACAAACAATTCCATTTCTTTCTGTATTTTGAAAATAATCACAATGTTCCTTTAGATAAAAATTTTTACGTTAAAATGTATATCTTTTTTTAAAAATCATGTTTATATTTCCGAAAATTATTTTTTAAACTGAGTACAGTGTTTTCCTGGTTTAACGAAAGATATAATGTCAGGCCCATTCGCAAATAACAACTTTTCTATAATTTAATGATAAATATAGGGTAATGGAAGGTAGAAAGTATATTTTTTAAATCTTTTTGAATGCACTGATAAAGTGTTTGACAATTTCCTTGCATTTTTATGCAGTGTGAAAAAGATAGAAATTAGTTTTTTTGTTAAATTTAGAATCAAAGCAAAATTAAAGACTTAAAAAAATTGATTAAAATTAGGTAAAAAACAATATCTTTTGTTTAATGAA